CTGTATAGCCAATATATCCTTAAATATAGTCATGATACAGTTGAACATCTTTTATTTCTTCTTGAAAGCTTCAGACTTTCTTCTGGTCAACTTCCTTTCTTCTTAAAATGTTTTTACACGAGCGAAATACAATCTTGAAAGTACGAGGGACGATTTCTAAAAAAAGTGACCATTTTTCACGGTGCAAAGTGGCCACGCGAATCGGTGTTTATCTGAACCGGTTGATCTTTTGACACGCAGCGAAAACGCTTACTCGAAAAGGCGAAAGTGGAGGTTCTAAATAGCGATGAACAAGGTGTAGTTCATGGCCAAGACCGTGCGTTGCGGCCATTCGACGGAAGTTTATTCAAGCAATGACTCGTTCGGAGACGAAACTCTGTTCAGCACTCGTGCCTCTCAACGAGCCTCTTGGGCTCATTTTTAAGCTCAGTTTGTTTTCATATTATTAAATCTTCATAATATATTCACGACCAGAGTTCACTGATTATTTCTTATTTCCTTAGATGTTTCGTAAGGATTTTGATTCGATGGAGTTTTATATTTGAGACAGCTCATTGAATTAATAAATTTGTACATTTTGACTATTAATACTTTTCATTTCATTGAACATTGTATTATTTTGTATGAAAATTCTTATACGTTCAGTTTATATGTGTTGTTAAAAGCAAGTAACTTAGGCGTCTTGGTGACTTAAAATTAACAGTACAGTTACATTGGAAATCCCTTCCTTTCGGATTTGGCTTTGCGAATTTACCTGCTTTCTGGTGGGGCATAGAGCAGATAGTCTTGTCTTAACCTTAACTGTAGTTAGGTGGGCCTTGAAGAACGTTCAGGTAGTCCAGGAATCAACAGGTCGATGGTAGGTCGGTCCTTAGTCCTGAGTCATCAGTTGTCAGTCGTCCGTCGTAGTTCGGGCACGCAACAGCAAGTTGGTCCTCGTCCTTAGGAAGCGAACATCGATTTCTCGATCAAGGGAGTGCAAAAGCGTGAGCGGTAGACATGCAAGTGAGTGATTTGCTTTTTGCCTTCGAATCGGTAACCGTTCTGGCCCGCTGAACTTTATTACGTATTTACGGCCACGCAGCTGGGTGTATAGATTCTGAGAAACGCGAAGGCGAGGTAATTGCGTAAGTGCGTGGATTATCGAGTTCGTTTTCAACGAGTGATTTAGGCTTTCGTTTGTTCGACATATTCTTGGTATCTTTAATCGACTTGGATTTTGTGAAAGAATGAATAATTCCCTCTCGGTATTAATTTTTGTACATAGTGAATCCAAATGGAAATTGGGTCGCGTGGGAAGCGAGGCCAAACTTTTGTATCGCGTGATTGAAGGGTGTCAAGTATTGCTGGTAAATCGTTGAATTTCTTCTTGAATTCTTGTTTGTTTTCTTAAATGCAGTTACTTTGGAAAACACTCGAGGTACAAATAAGATGATGTAGTGGCTCGAAAAGGGGTCAGTGGGGTTCAAGTAGAATTGCTGGTTGCCCAAAAGTCTGACAAGCCCGGTGGTCGTTGATTAACGGTTGCGGCTTTTCTTAGTCTTTGTTACAGAATTGTAAGACGCGTAAGAGACGACTGCACTCCTTGCTTTCTCCCAAGTCCTGTTTTTTCGTCGGTTGTGCTTCATTTTTTTCGTTGCGGTTTCTAGTTAGTAGGTTTCGATGTGAACTGAGTCTTCGACTCGAGCAAGAGGTACGTACTTCGTATACCGTGATTTAGACTATCTCTTGAAACTACAGGCGAGTTATTAATTATATTCGAAATTGATCTTACATAAGAATTAAAAATTATAATAATTGCTAAAATTGTACAAAGTATATTTGGAATTTCGTACGAGGGCAATTACTAGAGACAGGCCACACAAATCTAATAGCAAATTAACGGAGACGTTTCCTTCCAATCAATAGCTACGTTTAATTGATGCGACAATAATCTCGGTTTGCTGAACCGCGTACGCTAATCCTATAAATCGTGAGTTTCTAAATTTAGACCATGGTGAAATCGGCCATTAATCTTGCATTTATTCGCCGATCAGCAGAGTTCCTTTATATACACAGTATCAATCGGACGTCTTTCTCCAAGTGACGATGCATCCATGCATCTACGATAATTATCGATTCCTCTGGTGGACGTTAATTAAAGAGGCTTTGCACATAATCCCTTAAAGGAAATTAACAATTGAGAATGCGTGAGTTTCGATTTTCACTTTCCTCTTGGTTTCATAAAAGTTCGCTAGAATTTAGAGGATATGTGTGAAAAAATCGTCGAGTTGGATGGGCGCCAGAGTAAAATTAGTCGAATCGAGAATAAATCCGCGGAAAAATCGTTCTGGCCTTGTCGAGCATCTACTGGTTATTTTATAATTAGACAACATTTACGTAAAGTCTTTATTTTGTCTAAAACTAATATCAACCGTATTGATATCAAAATAAGATCCGCAAGCTACATTGTAGGAGGAAAAACGAGATTTGAAAGGATCCATTTTGATCTCCCAGTCGGACAAAGGATCCATGAACTGCTTGCAGTTCGTTTCACTCTCCCTGGATCGATACGATCTGTAACTCGAAGCGCGACAGGGAAACGAGATTATCAGAGCCGAAACTGATTCGGCGTACGTGTTGCGGTGTTTCAGAATTCAGTGGCGTACCGGTGTAGTAGCGACAGTGACGAGGAGCCAGTCACGAAGCAGCCTCGACTCAGCCGCAGACACTCGCGAGGTTCTGGAAGGGAATCCCCGGGTCAGTCGGCTCGTTCAACGCGCGCGAGACGCCACAGAGCCGCGAGATCACGATACTACGAGGATACGAGCAGAGCGGAACACTACTCAGACACCGACGCGTCTTCCGAGAACCGCTCGATCGGCGATGGATCCTATTTTGAGGTAAAAATCGATCAATCTCTTCTTTCCTTCTATTTACAACGAGGATATAAGACGGTCTGTGATTTTTGAGTCTTGAAAACTCTATGTGCAACGAAACACGTGTGAGTAGATAAGAGTGTGTCAACAAGACAAACGATCTTCAATTGCAGATTTTTATTTAATACGCAAAGTGAAAGTGTCGTACGTATGAACGATGTAAAATGTGAGACAATACATTTAAACGTAGCATCGAACAGTGAAAATTGAAATTGAAATCCTTTGTAAGGTATATCTTTAACGAATATCTGACAATCCGGGAAAATAATTGTTCGTCAGTAAGCACTGACAGCAGGAAGTTTGCTTGACCCTGACAACCCATGATCTATAGTCGTTGTAGCGAAGATGGATTTATGGATTAACTTTGGGACCGCAAGCAAGGATACTTGGAAATATTCTCTTTATATTTTAGCCTTCTTCGTCAGCAGGGTCGTAGCCTAAAGTTGCATGTCTGCCTAAACCCGGTATTCGGGCCCAAGAGCGGATACCTGAATATGGAAATGAGTCTGATCCTTATTAGCAGCTATTGTTTCGTTCCAAGAACAAAAATGCTACGTTCCCTTTGCCTTAAGCAGTTCTATGCTATCCAACTTGTATACATTTATACCTGGATAGAATTATATACTTATCCCAATGAATTTTTGCCTATGTTATTACTATTTTGCTTTTACAATAGACTTTCTATCGGGCAGTGCATTATGTTAATTTTCCTAGTATTGTCTTTCGTTGAAAACGAATGAAATTCTATTGTGTTGTCTCGCGGTTTCGGTTCCGCTCGTAATTTTCAAGTTTATCGGGGAAAGTTTCGTTTAAAAACAAATCGGAGTCGCCGGTCGGAGTGTCGATAGCGTGATCGCGAGTGCATCGCGCGTGCACGGTGTAACGTTATTCGTTACACGCGCGTTGTTAACGTGAACGATCTATCGTACAGGAGCTACGACAACAACGTGATTATAGTGCGCGGAGCGGAACGCGTGCACGGTGGAACCGGCGTTCCTCCACGTTCTACCTCTTTGTTACCAGTGAAATTGATTTCGTTCTCAATCTTGTAAATTAATTTTCGCTTAGTAAAGGCTGTTATCGAATTTGCAAGTTTTTCAAACAAAATTTGTGTTCTTATCATTGATGAACGACGACGTTTAATAAAATTTGTAATCTGGTATCTGTTCAATTTTTTCGTTTTTCAAATCGTTTTGATCTCTTGTCAAATTTAATAAATCAGATGTAAATTGACCTTGAATCTTTGTGAAATGAACTCGCGACACGGTTATTGCTGAAAAAGTCATCAGGAAGCAGTATTAAGGCTTGCGAATTGCACGGTGGAGGAACGGTATCTCTTATTTTTTACCATTTCTTTCCCTCCGATTTTTTATCGTTTTTCATCATCGAGGAAGTTCGTAAATCTTTCTTGTCCGAGGCGCGTCGCTCTGCTCGAGCGGAATGAGAACTCGGCGGGAGAAAGTGCACGCGGGACCGGGCCTTTTACCTTCTGAAATATTCACGAGGCGAAATAAAATAAAAATTGAAATTGACGCGTAATTGCGTGTACGTGACGTCGCCGTCGCTGTGAAACTTTGCTTCATTAAACCGCGTCGCACCGCGCGTCTACCCTCTCAATTAATCAGAAACCATGTACGCATCCCTTTTCTTTCGTTCGCGAGGGAAAACCTGTTTTACTCACGTCGGTGTTATATTCACGATCATTACGTTTCATTACTACTGCTAGTATGTCCTTTCGAGTAACCCTTTCCCACCGTAACTAGTATTATTATCATTGCGTATTCTTTGTTTATAGGTACTTTTAAAATTGTAAAAAATTCTTTCCGTACAATTTATCATTCTAAGAAATTTTGAGAGACCTGTAGCTTCGTTTTAAATGGTATATCTAACTCAATAGATCAATATGAGTTCAAATTGTTGATTATTACAATGAAAACAAATTTAATCCTGTACTAGGAGGAATATTTTGTTCCCAGATATTTTGACAGATTGTTCGCTACGACGTGCGAGCTAGCAATTTGATCGATAATTAACATCTTATCGCGTGAAATTATCATGATAATGGTCACGCGCGTCGCGCTCGGACAGTCGTAGAAGTTAGATGTTTATTTTGATATTTATCAGGTGAAAAGTACTGGGAAAGTTAAAAATAAATCTTGTGACTCATCGCAATTGATCAGTCCGTAATTTCTGATAATTATTTTAACGATGTTATTTCTTTATTATTCATGGAAGATCTAAGGATATCCAGTCTTGAACGGAGGCGTGCTTATTATCTGATTGCAGGATGAACTGTGTCAGATGTGTGTGATGGACACAAAGTCCGAGGGAGTGGGAGTTTCCGAGGAAGTTAAACAAATCGCGAGCACTTTAGGCGACCAGGGGGAAGAGGCTGATATAGAGGAAGGCGCGTTGACCGAAGACGAGGAGGACGATATGCCACCGATTCCCGACACCGTGCCAATGACAAATTCGACGATTATCGCGCAGGGCCGCGATCAGATCGACGGCCAGTCCGGAAACGTCGAACAACCAAACAGCAATCGTGCTACTAACGAGCCAGTGAAGCGGCGCACAAGGATCGAGGAGGTCGCTTCTTTTAACACGTAAGAAACGATCAACCAGAAATATTATAATTAACATTCTTTCACGATATAATACAACGTAACATCATTTCATATACGAATTGTATATAATTTGATGAATCCGTTCAAAGCGTTTTTATTATCTTATTACGTAAGAAGCGAACTCTCGTCGTATTAGGCTGATCCGTGTCGTCCCGCGTTAGATCCGACAGGCAATCGAAGAACATAGCGACCTTCTACGCGCGGCACCCCGACACTGACTCAGAGCAGAACGAGGAGGCTGCGGCGGAGGAGTCGTCCGAGGAGGAGTGGACTTACACGTTGTCGAGAGCGAATAACGTCACGACGGAGTGTAAAACGAACGTGCTGGTGGTGGAGGTCCAGGGCGAGGACCTGGGCAAGGCGAATGCGAATACGAGCGAGATGAAGCCCGTCAAAGAGGCGTCCGCGCAGGGCGTCGATGCGACTTCAAACGAAACCGACGACGCGTCCTCCCAACGCGAGAAGGACAGCGATGACGAAACGAGAAACGACAAGACGAGCATCCAGAGGCTCATTAAGGAGGTGGAAAAGCTGGTTGGCGAGGACAGGCGGTCCAAGATGTTCCCCCAGCTCATTCTCGACGATAAGAAGGGTATGACGAACAATCATCGCGCTAAGTACGCAAGGATCAAGGAGTGGTTGAAAGAGAACGAAGGACGATCCACGTCACAGGTGAGTCACAATTATTATAGCCGCGGGTTCGATGATCGCTTTTTATGTTGAGATCATGTGAGTGGTATTTGTTTTTTTATGTATGTATTTGTTTTGTTGTGTTGTATGTTAATGAGGAGGTGAAGTCATTCTTGTGAGAATAGAAATTCGTCGATGTTTAAATTTATCTGTAGTTTATTAAAGGAAACGAATTTTTGCGTTTGATCAGAATATAAAAGGAGAAAGAACATGAAACAGTCGTCTAACCGAATCAACTGCGCGCGCGTCGGTTTTAACGAGGTCTAAGGGGGAATTAAAGCGTTTCGTAACAATTGTAATCAGGGCGAGTTACAACCGCTGGACAGTTGCGATGCGAGTGGTGAGACGGAGGACTCGGACGGGGAGAGGCAGTCGGTTTCGTCGGAAGATCTTCAGAGCAGCGTTGCTACTTATCGGCGATTCAGAGGTGCGTTGGGATGCACGTCGCAGTCGGTGTCGCAAGAGATTTTCGATGATGCCGAAAAGACGCCGATCAACGAAGCGCATCCAATGATGGATAACGCAAGCACGCCGAAAGTCGTGATGCGGACCAAACAGAAAGCGAACAACGGTCACAGGCCATGGAGTGTCTCCTGCATCTCGCAGATCGGGAATAATTCTAACTTGAATCAAGCGAACGACCCGATATCGCAATTCTCCATAAGCGAAACGGCGCTGCATCAGCTGATCGCGACTCCGCCGACCAAGTCTGTATCTCTCGATGCATCGTGAGTAAATATAATAAATGTTCGCTTTTTCAAAGTACATGGCGTGCACGTTTAGTTAATAGCACAACTACAACCGCGACGACTGTGTCATTTCTTTTACCCTTCAAATTACAGGGGATCAAGGAAATCGTTTAACAATTCAACATCCACGTTGCTGGAAGAATCGATCATTTGTCATGACGGTCGCGTCATTCGAAATAGTTCACTGCGGAGGAAAAAGAGCAGGCTTCGAAAGAAAAATCTTGTAGGATATTTCGTAGATAAAGTTTTATTCCTCGATCCTTCATACATTATCTCTACATCGTTTTTTCTTCTCTGTTCAGGGCCGTAAAAGTGACTCTAGCTCGGAAGGCGTAAATAATGTGAACCAGTCCGCTGGAAGCGATGGCAGCTCGTCAAACCAGCAACGTTCTCCTCGGAAGGTGAACGGAAGTCGTGGGATCCGTACCATTTCGCGGGACAGCCACGGTCGTTTGACTACTCTAGTAAAATCAGGCTCGTTCTCGGGCTGCACCAGTCACCACCAATTCGCTGTAGAGAGGACGATTGTCAGCGATCCGACACCCCCGTTCAGGTTACTCTGCTGCATTTCAATGGCTTCCACGTCAGAGACCGAGGGTGAAGAGCAACGCAACTGTACAAGGGGTTGCTTCGCTTATGAGGAAAACTTGTTAGATACCGTGCTGAACAATAAGGATCTCTGTCTTAATCAACAAATGAATGTCGATAGCGACGTCGAAATGAACAGCCTTGGCAACAATTCGGTCTCCGAGCAAGCTTGGGACAACTATCAAGTAACCATTCTATTTTATTTTAATTTGTACCTCCTATTTGCCAAAGGAGTTGGTTTAGAACTTTGAATTAGAATAAATAGACGTATTAATCAAATTAATTAATCACAAATCGATCTCTCTGATAGGATAAGTATTCGAGCGAGCCGTACAGCGAAGCGCCAGACGTAGAAACTGCCAGAAGATTACTGGAATTTGGGGACGACTACCGAAATTACCTCGATAGTCAGTCCGATTGTGCCTCCAGTATGAGCGCAGTTCCCGCTAGTTCTCCGCTGCCTAGAAGTCGCATGCATCATGTACGTTTCACTTTATTACTCGTTCTTGATCAAGTATCCATATTCTTCCTGTGATACGTCATCTTACAATTTGTACCATTAATGGTAACAGTAGATCATCAAATAGTAGATTTGTTACGGATTATGATAGCAGAAAGCTTCGATATTTGCAATAAATTTTTTACACGTAATCTTACACTGAATTATTACCTTACGCCAGATACGCATATGCATATTTTTCTTTTCTAAGTAAATTATTTGTGAGTTTCTTTCCTTTTCATCTCAGGTGTAACTCTCGAACGTAATGATCAATGGACTGTACTTTCTAGTTTGTTGCGAGAATCTTAAAACGAAATTTTCTTTTCACGCAACAACGCGTTTCACCGTCTAATCTCTCGTTTCTTATTGAGCCTCCGGCGAGCGCGTTTCTGCGGCGATGCTTTAACGAGGATAAACGATGTAATTAGAGATACGGTTAGTGCTGTCTCGCATGCTGTAATCTGGACCACATTTTCAATGACGTTTGATTACCACGGTTTATATTCATGCGAAATATATTTTATTTTATTTCAAATAAATTTTCTGATTATTCGAAGTTAAATTTGTGAAACTCTGTTCTTGAATATTATCAGGTACTTTGTAATTTTACATACGTTCTTGTGTACAAACTCATGAACTCGTTATCTGTCTCTAATCTAAGATAACCGAGATTACACATTTTTAAGAAACATGTTATTGATTGATACGCGTTTCGGGTGCTGCTGACAGAGCAGTTACAGTTCCTCGCGTGACTTAAACATGATTTAACTAGTAAATTTCCAAGCCCACGATTCCTTTCCTGTTAATTTAATACCCGTTACACACAATTAACAAGTCATTCTCAGCGAGAATTTTCAACGTCTTAACGCAGTACAATTTCGAGTTAGGTTTCACGGTATACTGAGTCTTAAACAAAGCGGGCGTAATTTCAAAGTAAAATGAAATTGGTAAATTTGTCACAGGAAATACCCGACACCACGGAGAGCAGCGAAAGCGAGAGTGACGTGGAGGACATTCGGAACGTGGTCGAGAAATCGCAGTCGCAGTTCGTGTTAGCCGAGAATCTGTTCTCGAGGACGAAAAATGACGACACAATTTCAAATCCGGACTGTGTATGTATGATTTTCTCAAATATGTTTTACGTGGTACGTAAGGCAGTTCATTACTGTGATAATTTGATAAAGAATCTGCGAAACTACTTCGTACGATCATCGACTATCGTACGACCATAAGTCGATCATTATTTATATTCTAACGCATGAAATATTTTTTATTGCTTTTTCTGCTTGAACACTCATTGCTTTTTATCACAATACCAATACCACGCTTACGCAGTTCGTTTGCGCTGTGCTTTTATTTATTATAAGTGCCATAATTAGTGCTAAGCTTTTTTTATTGTAATCATGTAATTGATTAAGAATGTGATCTACTGTATGTTTGTATTGTTTTTTTTAATTAAATTACGTGACGATACTACGTCCAATGTTAGTGTGTATGCCACACCGAACTGAACATAAGTTAATTTTTAATAACAACGCATTGAGCTCTGCATTGGAGCTCAATGTGGCAACGTTAATTACGTACGTAATACGTAGCTTAGGTTACAAAAAAAAATGTGTGTAGGATAAAATAAAATTGTATTATACATAATTTCGTTAGATTAAAGACAATTATTTAAAAGTAGACATAAGATTGCGTTTCGATTTGTGTTCGTGTTCGTCTGCCTACTTTACTCTTACATTTTATGCAAATGAAAAAATAGTAATAGGGAATTATAAAATAGGATATTATATTATTAAATAAATTGCGAAATCATTCAACGTCTACCGCGATTTTCCGCACGAGCAAATTTCAATTGTGGGTAATAAAGGTCCATTTGCATGTTGCTATTCAATCATTCAATCCTTTCCGCTTTTGCTATGTACATACAAATCCGATCGTAACCGGAAATGCACGATGCACGACTCGCTTTTAATGCGCTTGGTTCAGACAGTTCCTCATTGCTCCTTGTACAGTGAAGTGTTGTCATCTAATTGCAAGGTATGATTATAATATATTTTCTATAATTTAATCCTATCGCGACATGTGTTTTCTTGCTTTTGCTTTATTGCTTGCGTTTACAGTTCCAAGTGAATGAATCGAGTAGTCGATAAATTTCCATAAAAGTTTTAAACGTCATTCTTTCTGTCGAGTCGTAAACATAACCGAGCGTCTTCCCGAGCACGTAAGAGATAGAGAAAGCATATTTTGAAAGAGTTTCTGCCTGTCTCTTACTCACACACCGACAGAAACGAGATAAACTCTTTCATTCATTTTCTTTCTCTTAATCAGCTGACTTTATTTCATTTAGGCGCTCGGTTTATTTTGATATGCCGATGGTATCGGCCATGATGGTCGTAAATAACGTAATTAGCAGTGCTTCTTGCTTTTGTAAAATATAGTTATTAGTGACGTGAATTGGTTTCGTGGGTAATTACGTACAAATTTGTGTTTATAGAGTCAAGTCGAGTGCGTGTGCAGAGAGAATTTACGATGCCTTCACGCGTTATTGGAGTCTGTGAGCAGTTCGTTCCGGAGCGAAAAACACGTGAAACAAATACGTGGTAAGTACAACAATCAGATTGACCGTCGGTCGTTTCCTATTTCGTGCATAGCTGCTATATTAATTACCGCTATGAGCGGACTCGTATTTTTGCTTCTTTCTTAATTCTTTGCTCCACCTTGAACCGTTAATTCAGAGATACCATCGCGATCTCGATCGCGAAGAGAATTTTATTTTTTACTATCAATTTCTATTGGATTGAAAATACTGATTATTGATGAGAGTGGAAATGAACCGAGGAATTCCACGGATTTGCTAACTAGACTTTTAAGGTGTGTGTAAATACTTTGAAAAGACTGATATACAATACGTATTAGCATGTGAGAAGTGTATGCGTTTGAAATGATGTTCATATAAAGCTAAGTATCTTCATAATTATATTTACCGTAAAGATTGTACAAAAATATTGAATGAATCAAACGACTTAATTAATAGAGACAATAAACTGCCATCGAGATGCATACGTATCGATGCATGCATGCATTTTGCCTGATCGAGCTGATTATTTCTGCCTGTTGAATAATTAATTATTTTCATACACGAATGATTTGAATATCATTTTGTGCAATGTAATTTTTGGAGCGATGATCAGGTTGCGAAGTAATTCTTCGAGGAGTGCCTTAGTAATGTAGCGAAGTAATTCTGCTTTTAGTTAATTTTTGTACATCGTTCATATTGTAATCATTATGGAATAAACGCTGCTTTGTTGTGGCTTCTTAATCGTTTTTTTCTTTTGTTTCTTTTATTTCCTACGGAGTAGATATTTCAATTCCTTATCAGTTTCTAGTATTTCAACATACTTTTTTATTACTTTCTTTACACTTTTGTAATGGTAGAGAAGCACAGTTTCGATTATATTCGTTGTTTATGTAAGTAGTTTCAAATGTTGCCTGCATCCGGTTTGTTTATCTCAATTACACGCCTTTCATTTAATTACAGTAGTAATCTCTAGTTGCATCGCATACCGTACGTCCAACCACTCGTTTATTCGACGAGTTTAAAGCCGATTCTCTGCAGCTGTTATCTGCTTGTAGCATGAAATCTTTTAGCACAACTTTGTAACTATGGCAGAAGCATTCAAGGAATTGATTTTGGTAAACAAACTACTGATTTCTATGCAAAATAAATCTTTTGTGATATCAATTTTAGAAATTATATCTAAATTCAGGAACCTTTCACGTTTCAAAGTTAATGATGTGTATTTCTAAAATGTGCATCTATGAATCTACTGTTTATTTGGAGGTATCGAATCTAAAGATAAAGTCTCAAAGATTTGTATGTTCTCCATCCAAGATCAGTGATTTAAATGACAATTCCATGAGTCAATAAACGATTATCGAGGCATCTTTAAGATTAGGTACCGGTTGCGGTCGACAGTTAACGCCGGGGGTGCGTGTGGGTTCCGCGTGTAGGAGTCGTGCATATCGAGTGCACCTTCGGATCTCTCACCTTATAAGAAGCACCGGGGCTGTGAAGCTACGCGACGGAATCGCACGAACCGTTGCTCGGTAGTGATCGTGCTCGAATTGCCGGAGAGAATCGTCCGCGGCGAAAACCGGCCGGTTCAGTAGCTCGGTTTTCCTTTTCCGCGCCGCACGTTTGCTCGCCTTTCCTCTTCTTTACTCAACAGCTGATTCGCCACGCGCCGCTTGACGTCTGTTACTACGCGCTTCGCAGAGAATTAACTTTCTTCATATCATGCCGTACCTTGAATAAATACCCATCGAAAATTCTTCTTCGCTGTTGCTACTGAATGTTTTAATAGTAAGTCCAGAGATTTAATGATTCGAACTGTGTCTCGAGTTAATTGAAGTTTCCAAATCATGTCTGAGTGAAAAATTGGATTATAAAATCGTTTCGATTATTGGATTATAGTAATTAGTGCGGCAAATTAGAAAATAGAAAATTTGCGTGACGAGTTCCGATGATGTTGAGACGGGGGAACAGTGTCGAGAAAGATTCACCGGATACCTGTTATCAGCAGATTATCGCGAAGGATCAACCGGATGATGCCTGTACGTACACTTCCGTATATGTCAAACCTTCCACCCGTAAATCCTTTTCGGCCACACTCGTCGGCCTTGGACGAGTCATTCTAATGTACCACTAGATGTACTTTCTAATTCTCACCGTCGAGTTTTTAATTTTGTCTACGGCGAGACCAAAATTCATGTTTCACGTTAGCTAACATCCTCCTGTTTGTTTTAACTTTCGTTCGATTGTACGGTTAACAATAGAAATGGTCCCTGACATCATCCCGGAAGATAACTCAATATTCTTCATCGCTATTCCGTTACCTGTCAAATCGATTGCTCGTGCTCTTTTCCTTAAAGCAACCGAGTCAGCTGCGATATTTAGTTTCGCATATCACTCCATCATTCGCTTCAATAAAATTTCCTATCAGGCGTAAGTTCTATCGGATAATTGAATTAAACTCGACAAATGGAAATCTTTGATTGGTATTAATGTTAGTGAGAGCTACCCGTTTGCGTGTTTTCTATTTATTGCGACGTTCGCAATTCGCGAAGCGTGTACACGCCGGATCGAGATGAATTCACGGTTAATTTTACCACAGGCGCCTCTGACATAAGTCCAAGTCTCTAAATCTTGTGTTTCAACCTTGAATTTTCGTTGGCAGGTCTAACAATGGCAAGTCTAATTAAATTAGCATAATTCTTCTTGTGATAATTATTCTGCTGCTAATTCGAAAGAAATACGTTTCTTTTTTTTTTATTCTGTATCAAATACGTGATTGACATGCAAATAAATGATTGTTATTTGATAACTGATTAGGTATGAAATAAGTGAAATAGGCAAAGGTGAAAAATAGGTCGAGGTAATCTCTTGCTGCCTAAAGTTATCATTCGCTGCCAGGCAATATTAATAGCAACTTAACTATCAGTTCATGTTTACATTGAACCCAAACTAGTAGTCGCGAGCATGAAATATTTCAACGCACACGCTCGCTTACTCCTCAATTTGTTACTTCGCAACCAAACAAGTTATCACGATTCTATCTGCTGTCTAACGCGAATTTTCCTCTGCTCTCTAATTTAATATCATTTTACATTGATTCCCGACTGTACATTTGAAATGTACGTGTATATACATACGTATTTGCGAAGCCACTCGGCGTGGAATTAAAGTAGAAAGCATCGGTGGAACACAATCGTCCCGCAACCGTTTCACCGTTGCGTTGTCCAAGATCTCGGTCCGATAGAAACTTTAGAAGCTGGTTGATTAATGAGCTTGCATTCATTCTCGCGTTAACGCTGACCCGTTTCGACGTGGTCGCTTTCGTAACGCCGTTGTTCACACGTGGGTGTCTACGTGGATGTTCCGCTAGAATAATACCCACTGGCCAACGCGATTTTTATTACGATAAAAACTGTTTGCGATACATTTTAATTTTATCCACTCCGGAGTGGATTGATTTAAAACGTAGTTCAAGAGTTCGTATAATCAATTGCACAGATTTGCCAATTCGAAGGATTTTTATGAACCATTGAAAGATAAATGAATTGTATTAAGAGGAGTTTCTGACTCCTAAGATTAATTATTTCTCCATCGACTAGTTGATTTTGCCTCGCGGCTAATTCCTTGTGTAACGATCAGAAAATTGCATGCATCTCTTGCGATTCTTTCGTTCCACTTTATCGTGGCATCGGTGGGAAAGATGACCGGCAGGAAGAAGAGAGGTCTGCCGATTTCTGCTCTAGTAAACGTGTGCGTTCGAGCGTGATAACGCGGGATGCGTATTACATTTGATACACGATACACGTTGTCGTAGTTATTTCGTACATTTCTCATTTCCTGTGGGTCACTTCCATCGATGCTGCGACCTTATGACTTTTTCTTTGCGTGCACCATCACTCTTCTTCCGTTCCATGCATTAAATTCGTCAACCAGTATGTTATAATAATACCTATCGTGTCCGGATACGTGAGTCCTGATTATGTGAATTCGTGTAACGCAGTACGATTTTTGACAATCAAATTTGACCCTGAGTTCAGATAAAAATATTGCTATAATCTGTTTTATAATGCTATTAATAAGCGAATTTTTCAAAGTGAAACTTCGTGAAATAAATCGCGTGAGCAACGAAAAGATTTCCCTTTGTTTCCATCATACAGTAGTAGAACGTGACCCGTTTTTATAGCTTGGAATTCGTGATTTCACTTGATAACTGCAGTCCATTACGGCTGGCCGCTGTTTTTACGAACTACCCGCGACAAAGTGAAAGTTGTTTTTTCCGTGAAAAGCGCGAAAAAGTCGTCGGGGTTTTCCTATGGGTTCTAGAAATCGTATCAAACTTTTATCTATCAGTCTATACCTATCTGAATCGAGAATAGTACGACACGTGGCCTTCGAGAGCTATTTTTAGTTAACGATTATGTGAATTAATTGGTTCTCTTTTATGTCTTCCGACATACTGTCATCAACACGATAGTCAGGTTTTGTCGATAATATTTTTTAACACATTCGTGTATAGATTGTATTACCGGCTTTTGTAATTTATGTGATAAGATTGCAATGTTTGACTTTTGTAATTTTCTATAAAATTGTTTGCCACGTTTCGTTATTTACTTTCTTCTAATTGCAAGATTCTTGTTACTATTTACGAGATAATTACTTGGACGCCTCGGTCACGGTTACCATGTTGAACAGAGAAGAGAATTTCGAAGCTTTCACCTGGCAATTTATTTACCTTGTAAAGAAGACGCTTTATACCAACAACAGCTAGGTACACGCATTTAATTAGAGGAAAGCGTGATCAGGGGTGTAATTGAGTATGACCTATCGGTAGGTCACCTGTTCTGACATTTGTACTTGACTCGGGGCCGGCAATTAACAAATCCTGTCAGAGTCACGATCTACCTAATAATTTACCCAACATAGTTTCAACTTCAAACTGCGAGTCTAATTTCTAACGCTTCAAGAATATTTATTTCAATTGTTTTATTGATGCGCAATTGGAATTGTAATTAGTATTAAAATGTATGGAAAATTATGTATACTTTGAAGAAAGTGGGTAGTTGATTCGATAATTATTAGTATCAGATATCGTTAACATGAAATCGTTTGCGTGTTCGACGGGAAATCGCTCCGGATGCTGTAATGTGGAAAGAAATTGTAATCACTGGTATCCCGGGGAAAGCCTAAATACCAGGACATTTTTATATCGAGTCTCATGACTTTTCCAGCGTTTTTGCTGGAGAAAATAATCGCCTCACTTCCATGTGCAATATGCACTAATTTTTCATTTCAGTTTCTCAGAAATTGATAAATAACTGATAACGATAGTAGTATTGCATTTTTAAAGATTGTTCTAATTTATATGTAAAGTAAAAATTTTTATGCACTCTATATGCAAATTTTTGGTACAGATGAATCTTGAGGAAGATTTATGGTCTCGTGAAAGTGAAAGTTGTTGAATCGAGTTATCGAAAACGGTATCGGTCGTTTAAATCGGAATTTGCGCATATTTATAAAGGGTGCCATGTCTCAAGAAAGAAAGTACAAAGAAAGTAAGAGAAGAAGCGGGTCATCGAAGCCATTCTTGGTTCATATGCACGCGTGTCGATATAAGCTTCTTGACCTTAAATGTCTGACCACTTATACTGACTGACATAACTCTAGCTGGAAAAAATGACTATCGCGAGAGTGACGTAAATAGTAGTACCACGTTAACATCTACGAAGCTACGGCTTGTAATTGCATAGAACACTTCCGTTCGGAACGTGGCTGCAAAGAAAAGGAGAAGACAAAAGTATGATTGTATATTGTAAAACGCTCCACTTGAAGGCATTATCAACTTTCTCCGAACTCATTTATATCTCTTTCCGCAAAATTAAGTTTAAGTCTTTTGAAATTCTTAGTTCTCAGTAAAGTGAAATGTTGCTAACTGCTATCACCTTGTAACTCTATAATGTTAGATAGTTCTAAGTCATTAAACAATAATTATGAACGCTTCGTTTAGAATGGCCGTCTTTTTGTTTCAGGCATGTTAGAAATGTGGGAGTCTCTCACTACCAAAGTAGAGGAGACTCAGAGAGCCAGTGCGCTTCACCGCGAGCTGGCTGCTTTTCGTTCAGAGTTCAAAGCAGCGCATGATAGACTCTTCTCGTACGAAGTCACTTTGGAACAGCCACATGTGTTGGACGAGAGGATTAATCGAATTACGGTAAGAATTCTAATTATTAAATATTTTTAAACATCGAACATCTGCGACATTGGCAATCGATCTGGACCTGACATCAAGTTCGATTCTCTTTCCTTAAATATTAATTTTGATTGAAATTGTGCACATTAGTTCATTAGATAAAAGACAAATTTATTAATCTAGATACAATTTAAAAGTTAGAAATTTTAAACTTAATTGTAGTTCTTCGCTTGGCGAACGCCGGCCGCTTACTTTTATTAACTCTAATTATAATTGCAAGTATTAGAAAATTTTAAATGAAAAGGTCGGTCGGTCTATTCGTGTACCTGGTCCGTGCTGATAGCAGACGTCGATAAGACTTATCGTGGTCGGTAACTGATGCTTTCCTTCGTCGGTACTCGCAACCAACTGTTGTACCTAGTTCGTTCCTTCAGCGATTGCACTGACTACAGATGACGCCAACCGAGCCTTTCTCCTCCACTGGCTATCAAAATTTCATTGTAAAATTAAGGAACAAATATTTATTAAAAAAAAATCAGATCGTTGATGAAAATGTGTAGAATATTTGAGAATTTATTTGGTTAATAAACGAAAGGCTTTAGTTATTTTATTGAGTGGCCCTTAATTAAACACAATCTTGTAAAAAGTACCAAGCATTCTTCCTGAGCCTAAATTGTACTACTATTCACAGGCCATAAATCTCTCAAATATTCATCATCAGAGTCATCGGCAATCGAAGTCACGTTAACTCCCATTCCGACACGATATTCGATTCGCATAGAATCCGAGAGCGTTCCCCGGAGCGGAACAAGCTCCGGCATTATTAAAAACATCTTGGAGAAGTTAGAAAGCCGGTTGCGAGAGGAGCGAGAGGTGAAAGTAGGCGAAATAGGAGCGGCGGGGGTGGCTAAGGCACGGCGAAACCCGGAACAGCCAGGGGGTTAGCGCGGAGGCGTATAAAGGGAAGGAGAGGGCCAGTCAGGAGGCAAGGATAGAGGCAGAGAGTGGCGTAAAAGCGTAGTCGTGTCGCACGTACGCTCGTCTGACGGCGACGTGCCCGGCATCGCAACTCGCGGCAGCGAACGCCGACGAACCTAGCCAACCCTCTCAGTTCCACCCCCCGAGAGTCATCCCTCTACTCCCTGAACCCCTCTCTGGAAACCTCTGGAACACCCTCGTCTCCACCTCCTTCTTGTTTCTCGCTTCTCCCATCGTTTCACTTCCTCCTTTACTCCTTTGTCTTTGTCCATTCCATCGAGTAACTTATCACACTTTTATTTTCTGGTTTATTACAATCTGTCTTCTTCACTTTTTCACTTAGAAATCGTCGCTCCTTTTAGAATACCATGTAGTACGTATCAGCCTTCTTTATACGTATCTCTCAATTTCTGTCTACACGAATATCTACAATGCTGGAACGTCCCTTTTCCTTCCCCACTTCCGCTACCACTTTCTTCGATTCGGTTCTTTTACTTCCTATCACCTCTTTGCTTCTATTTCTCGTTCAGGCGAGTCTTCTTTTTCCAGGATCTCGTGTATCCCTCATCCCTTTCTGTAATATCCCCAACATCCCTCCAGCCTCATTGCGAAGACCAAACACACGCTCCCTATCTATCATCAAGATGTATCAGCGTTGCCGGGTGAACTCTGCTGCATTATGCAGCAGGGCGCAACGTCGTCTAGTCGGCGCGGATCCTTCTTACTTTACATGTTTCCACGTTCCACCAACGGTTAACCGGTCCTTAGTCGGGCTCGCTGAAAGAAAAGCTCGACAATCTCTATACTTGTTTTGCGTGTCAGAATGCAGTCGAGTCATCGCGAGGCTCACTGTGCGAAAGGTTTCAGGAACGAAAGGGTTGACGTCGAAGTACCCCGTGCAAGGGTGAAGCACGTGCTTCAAGGATCAGCTTCCTGTTGCACTGGGCTCATGCTTGTTTCAAAATATCTCTTTTGGATCTCAAGAAAGAGATTTTCATTTCCTTCTTTTTTTTTATATTAAGATTATATATATTTTCGTTGAAATGGAATAACAATTTCATATTAAATAGTGAATCGTGTATAAAAGCAGATTCAGTTTTTTAACTTTTATCATAAAAAAAATCTGCAAAACTGAATATTTCGAAGAGTTGCACGTTCAGCCAACTCTCACCCTGTCGTGCTTTTTCTGTCGTATGGCATTAACCTGTCCGGGAATCGATTAGCCGCGTTCACGGGCGTCGTCGTCGCGTCGAATTAATTCGCATGCACGACGTACGACGGAAAGCGCGACAGAATGAGCGAGCGAGTGGTGCAGGGCGCGAGACCAAACGGAATGCACCGCCGCGTGTATCACGCATTCGTAAACAGGCGTGTCCGACCGGTGCCACGGTATCGCGAGCCGCTGATTGCGTTATTGCGTAATTTCTGCGCGACGACGCAACAGTGGCGTCTTGCGTTTTATATTTCACTCATTAGCGACTTACGCTCCTGCGTGAGTCGCTTGCGGATCCTCGTGAGAAAAGTCTAGGGTCTGGTATTTTTAAAGCGAGAGATCGTAGAAGAAGCAATAGACGTTTTGCAGAATTTTTATATTTGTATTATGCATAGTTGCCATAAACGTTGTAATAGAAATTAATATGTTTCGTCTAATAATTGTTCTAATATTTAATACAATGTTTGATATAATACTAACAGTAGTGAGTTAATAAGAACTACTATTTGCATTGAACTTGTCTTTAAAAGCTCGTTTTATACTGGAGTCGTGATATTCCTAATTGTCAGAGTATAGATTTACTTCTACTACTTAACGCGCAGTGATATTTCTCAAATGCGTTTGAGATATAGTGAAATTGAATTATAGATGAACGTAGATACCCGATCACTCTTTCAGAAGTTCTCACTGTACCGTAAAACAGTCCGTATCCTCGATTCAAATTTATTTTTCATTATTAGAAGAATCTCTCGAAATCCTTTCATTCCATCCAAAAGATCTCCACTTTCTTTACGATATCACCGTGTCGCGATCAGAAAACGTGTGGATACTACAAACAGAAAGTTAATTGTTCACACGTGATCTTAAATAGAAAAACAAGTCGATTCAGGGAACAAGGCGACCAAAGAGAGAGAGGGAGAGAGAGAGTAAGCTCATAGACATGCAGAAGCAGCGACGGCAGCAGACCGCTCTGTATACCGAATTCGAATCAATTGATTGGCTGTTGATTGGAAATTGAATTAGATCGGAATGTGCGTGTCTGCGCAGGCCGGGAACCGCGGTTGGAAGAGGGCAGAGGGTTGACGGGGATGGAGGCTGGACCCGAGTTGTAAAGGGTGGGTGGTTACGGAAGAGGGGAACGGCTTCTGCGTTCGCGATGTGCACGGAATATCAATGGCCAGCCACTTTTCGTCGCGACCGAGAGCGGGCAACGCGCTTCTCTTTTCTCTGTCCTGCTTTTCTCCCCTCGCCCGTCCGGATCTCTTTGTTCTCACGCACGTGAACACCGCTTTTCACGCGTCTGACCTTTTTGACGGCGTGCCTGGAATCGCCGCGCCGCCGCCGCCGCCGTCGTCGTCGTCTCGACCATGGATTTGCATCGATTAGCGGCAACCGCGAAGAATATCGATTGCCGATCGAGCTCATTTGTGACCAGGATTTAGATGGGAGAGAGTCGTTTGCCCAGACGGATTGATTCTACTTTTCGCAAGACGAGATTAGAATACTTCTTATCTTAAAGTGTATTCTATTATTATTAAACTCTTCAAAAACTTTTTGCCAGGGATAGCACACGTTCAGCCAACTCTCACCCTGTCGTGCTTTTTCTGTCGTATGGCATTAACCTGTCCGGGAATCGATTAGCCGCGTTCACGGGCGTCGTCGTCGCGTCGAATTAATTCGCATGCACGACGTACGACGGAAAGCGCGACAGAATGAGCGAGCGAGTGGTGCAGGGCGCGAGACCAAACGGAATGCACCGCCGCGTGTATCACGCATTCGTAAACAGGCGTGTCCGACCGGTGCCACGGTATCGCGAGCCGCTGATTGCGTTATTGCGTAATTTCTGCGCGACGACGCAACAGTGGCGTCTTGCGTTTTATATTTCACTCATTAGCGACTTACGCTCCTGCGTGAGTCGCTTGCGGATCCTCGTGAGAAAAGTCTAGGGTCTGGTATTTTTAAAGCGAGAGATCGTAGAAGAAGCAATAGACGTTTTGTAGAATTTTTATATTTATATTATACATAATAGCCATAAATGTTATAATAGAAATTAATATGTTTTGTATAATAATTGTTCTAATATCTAATACAATGTTTGATATAATACTAACAGTAGTGAGTTAATAAGAACTACTATTTGCATTGAACTTGTCTTTAAAAGCTCGTTTTATACTGGAGTCGTGAT